TTGCAACTGATATCCCTGTTTTGACACATAAAACATAATTTCTTCCATGAAGATCAGATTTCAATGTGCCCTCAACAGTGTACTCCCTTTCTTTCAGCTCCCAAAGCATATTTTTTGAAACTCTATTACGTTAACTCTTGTTCAATACAGTTTTCTGACTTCATTTGTCTTTATCTGACTAAGTGGTCCTTTAAGCAAAACTTGTTTTGTTTTGTTATTCTGGCAGCACTGGAAATGGAACCTAGAGCCCTCATTCATGTTAAGCAAGCACTCCACCACTAAGCTGTATGCCCATCCTATTTTAATTTTTAAAATGTGTATGGGTGTTTGCCTGTGTGTATATCTGTGCATCATGTGCTTTCCTGGTGCTCATACAGGTCAGGTCAGAAGAGAATATCAGATACTTTGGAACTGCAGTTATAGATGGTTATAAGCTGCCATGTGGATGATGGGAACTGAACTCAGGCCCTCTCAAAGAATAGACAGCAACTCTTAACTACTGAGTGATCTCCCTAGCCCCTCTACCCTTCACTTCTTTTTTGGGACAGTAAGTTACCCAGGTAAGGTTGAATTTATAATCCTCCTGACTTTGCCTCCTGGATAGGTGTGGGAACACCAGACCTTGAGTAGAGACCCACTTCCCCTTCTGCCTGGGAGTAGGCAGCTGTAAGACAATGTTTAGTAAAAACATGTTTGCTAAAAACGATACAATGTCCGGGGCAATAAGTTCCTGGAAAAGGCCTTCCCACGGAAACTGCCCTGACCTCGACCTTGTCCAAAGACTAACCGCACCTTCAAACCCACACACATCCACCTCTGGTGTCAGGGCAGAACCAGCCAGGGTAGAGGAGAGAGCAGAAGCTTCTCTGGTGGGAGCTTTTCTTAGGAAGTTTTCTTGAACCTTTTTGGAGCCTGTTTAAAGTTTTCTTTATATCGTTGAACAAGTCTCTGTGTTGTCAATCCCCGACACCCTCCGCACGTTCTCGGACACAGGCCAGGCAGCAGACGTGACAGATAGGAGTTACAACAGACAAAAAATTTAACTTGTTAAATGACCTGTGTAGTTATATAACTGAGATTAAGTGTTTATTAAATTTAAGTTCATCATTTGTCTGCCTAGAAAAACCAATAAGGGGACAGTTCAAATGCCATTTCCTCTGAGAAAGTTTCCCTGTCCTGTCATTTTCTTTTCTTTTCTTTTCTTTTTTTTTTTGGTTTTACAAGACGGGGTTTCTCTGTATTGTTTTGGAGGCTGCCAGTCCAGTCTAGCCCCAAACTCACAGAGATCTGCCTGCCTCTGCCTCCCGAGTGCTGGGATTAAAGGCATGTGCCACCACTGCCCGGCTCCCTGTCCTGTCATTTAATCTGTCCTCTATTCAATATTTACTGAAAACCAACTATTTGCCAATCTTTTCTAGATGGATGAAAACCTTAAAGCATTCTTGTCAACATCTATCAACTAATGAATAGATAAATATATTATATGCATACAACATATTATTCAGCCTTATTGGTGATATAATTCAAATCTATGCTATCACATATATGAACCTCAAAAATGTTAAACTGAAGAATGATAAAGGAGACACAGAAGGATAAATACAGTACGATTCTATTTATATGAGGCCCCTGAAATAAAATTTATAGACAGAAAATAGAACAACAGTTACAGGGGTTAAAAAGGAGGAGCTGAGCATGGTGGCACACATCTATCCTCTAAGTACTTGGAAGGTAGAGCAGACAGATCTCGTAAGTTCCAAGCCAGTCTAATCTACATAGCAAGTTCTGTTCAGGACAGCCAGAGGTATTTAGAAAGATCTTGTCCCGACACAAACAAACCAAAGAAAAACAAATGGAAAGAGAAAGAAAGATGGGGAGATTGGATGAACTTTAATGAAACAATTAAGATACAGGGCATATTTATTTCTCGTACTCCACAATTATACACTTAGATTATAAACTATTCAGGGTAAAGCCATGACTTAAGTCTATCAGTATTCCCAATCCTAGAAACAATACCCCATGCAAAGATAATCTTCTAAATTGTATTACTGTCCAACAATAAAATGGACTGTCTCTAAAGGAATATCACAGGCCCCTTTTTTGAGCAATGCTAGTCGAGGAATTCCTACATCCAGAGAAACCCACGTAAACTAGAAAATATTGAAGATTCCTCTAATTTTTGAAAAATTATTTTATTTTTAAAGCACACCTTTAATCCCAGCACTCAGGAAGCAGAGGCAGGCAAATCTCTGTGAGTTCAACACTAATCTGGTCTACCAAGTGAGTTCCTGAACAACCAGGGCTGTTACATAGAAAAACACTGTCTTGAAAAATAAACAATTATTATGTGTGTACAAGTGTTTTGCTTATATGTTTATATATACACCCCAGGCTTGAAAGGTACCCCCTACAACTGGAACCTCAGAGGGTTGGTTGTGAGCTACCCATGAGGGTGCTGGGAATTGAACCCAGGTCTTCTGCAGCAGTGTTCCTAACCACTGAGCCAATTTCCAGCCTCATTCCTTTTAGCATCAAATCCTAAAGGTGGTCCTAGACTAGGAAGCACTGCTTGTCTTTATTCCTAAAGAATACTGAAACTTCAGCTAAGTTATATAACTTTAAAAGCTTATCCTACTTATTGTTTGCTTTGTCAAAATTATGCTGAATTCTACTTCCTAGAGCCCACATTAGGAAAAAATTGAGTTTTTTTTCTAGACAGGCTCATTAATAACCTTAAGCTACACCCATGACATTTATTTCACTAATGAAGAGAGTAAGATAATATATTATTTATTCCATAACATTTAGGAAATTTTACCCTTTTTATTTTATTGCTACATATATTTAAAATAAAACAGGTATTTAAACATTTTATGTACAGGAAAGGGATTATAAAGTTAAATATGGGCTAAACTAAAATTATATACCTAAATTAAATAAAAATATGTTGGGCCCCAGCCCCATGGGGTCTCTCTGAGTTGCTGGTCAGCCTACAAGTGCAACTTGTTTTCCAGTCCAAGTGCTTTCTGTTTTCTAGTCCTGGCTTACTGCCCTGGCCTTGACCCTCTGACATCAACATCTAGCAGGAGGAAAACAACGATCTTTTCTACCTGGGGTTTTTTCCACTGTGCTGTACACTTGTATAAAAAGCTCCTCCCTCCTACAAGGGAGGGACCTCTTAGCACTTGCAATGAAGACACACACACACACACACACACACACACTCCTGGTAATAAAGGCAACACATGCATTCTATTAGTACAAACAAGTGGACGTTTGGTCTCTCTTTTCCTGATACCCTGGACTTGGTTGTGGCGCTGGCACAGCAATTGGAGGTTCCACTGAGATCCAGAGAGACTTGGAAAGACTGGGAAAGATTGGCCAGATAGAAGACTCGAGAAAGAAAAGAATTAAAAACAGGTACCTCAATTTTTAACAGTAAAATTAAATGGTCAAACCTCCAGGCTTTGCCTGAGAGATCACCCTAGGTTGGAGGGTGGATTGGATTAAATCTCCAGGCCTTGCCTGACACAAAGGTCAGGAAAGTAAGGGGACCCTGAGAGATGGCCCTCAGTTGGAGGGTGGATTGGATTAAATCTCCAGGCCTTCGCCTGACACAAAGGTCAGGAAAGTAAGGGGACCCTGAGAGATCACCCTAGGTTGGAGGGTGGATTGGATTAAATCTCCAGGCCTTCACCTGACACCAAGGTCAGGAAAGAAAGGGGAACCTGAGAGATCACCCTAGGTTGGAGGGTGGATTGGATTAAATCTCCAGGCCTTTGCCTGACACCAAGGTCAGGAAAGAAAGGGGAACCTGAGAGATCACCCTCAGTTGGAGGATGGATTAAAAGCGGGTGAATTGAAAATTGGTAACGGTTAATAAAGGAGGTACTGGTATTAAGTAAAAGAAAAGGAAAAGTTAAAAGTATATAAAATGAAAAATACACAGAGAGTCTGGATACTGTGTACAGTTGTGTTGTCTTTAAATTGTTTAATTGCTAAGAAAGGAACAAAAACTGCTAAAAGACATTTGATTATTAATGTTGCTAAATTAATCCAACTTACATGTTTTGAAAATGCTTTGACTTCTAAATTTAAATATAAGGACAGGTTACTTGGGAAAAGAATTTCTACTTTTGTTTCCACAGAACATAAAAAGCTGTGGGTTCCTTCCAGACTAGTATGGTTTGATGAAGCAAGACCACCTGAAGCAGTGGCCCAAGTGATCCAACACCTAAAACAGCTGAGATGATGCAGCCTTACAGACCACAAAAACAAGAACTTCAACAGGGTTCTGGGTTTGGTTTTTTTGTTTTTGTTTTTGTCATGATCCCCATGGTATTTCAGTGCCCCTTAACAGCAGGAAGTAGCTTGGAAAGAACGACGCCCACATTCCCAAATATTGTTTATAAATGTTTGTTTTTGTATACTAAGATTGACATTAACATCCTAGTCACCTGAGATAGGTGCTAATTTATATATATAAAGAAGGGGAGAGATGTTGGGACCCAGCCCCATGGGGTCTCTCTGAGTTGCTGGTCAGCCTACAAGTGCAACTTGTTTTCCAGTCCAAGTGCTTTCTGTTTTCTAGTCCTGGCTTACTGCCCTGGCCTTGACCCTCTGACATCAACATCTAGCAGGAGGAAAACAACGATCTTTTCTACCTGGGGTTTTTTCCACTGTGCTGTACACTTGTATAAAAAACTCCTCCCTCCTACAAGGGAAGGACCTCTTAGCACTTGCAATGAAGACACACACACACACACACACACACACACACACACACACACACACACACTCTCCTGGTAATAAAGGCAACACATGCATTCTATTAGTACAAACAGCTGGATGTCTGGTCTTTCTTTCCCTGATACCTTGGAGTTGCTTGTGGCGCTGGCGCCACAAAAATAAATAAAATATAAAAAGACTTAGCAAAATACACAACTCTCTACATACTCGTGCCAGGAGGACACTAGCAAAGGCAGGAAGGCACTCACCTCAGGGTCAACGTGTAGTCCCCCTGCAGTTTTGTTGAGGCATCACGCACTAAGAAGGTACCATCTGGCATGTCCCGTAATTTGTCATTTACCTCTTCCCTGAGAAGTAAAATTATAGGAAACATTTGAAAAAGAAAAAATCTTAAACACAGGTTGTCTTCACAAATTATTATCAAGATTAGCTGGAAGGTTACAACACCCTCAAGTCTCCAGTGGTCACCTAGGTCCTTCCCATGGAAACGATTTCTGTTTTTATTTTTGGTATTATGTAATCTAGGGGAAAACTACTTGATGTTTGACTCCTCCAGATTTCAACTGTCTACACAGATCCTGTTTCTACTATGCCTTTAGGGCTTTCTTAGGCAGGTCTGAACATGAAGAGTGTCAAGACAAACCCACAGCTGTATAAGAAGGAGGGCGTTGTTTATGCAGCTGTTACTGACATTCACAGCCTATCAACACCATGCTCTCTAATTTGAATTCATGTTAATAACAAATTTCTTCTGCAATTTAGGAATTTCAGAAACATTATTCAATGAAATATAGGACATGAAAGATCCTTGAATTCCAGTAGAACATGATTTTAAAATACAACTTAGATGACCTTTATGTTGTGGAATATTACTTTAACTGTGTAAAGGTGTGTTACATTTATTTATGCTGCCTTTGTTAATGATGTAAAGATATTAACACATTTTTTACACTATGGTGTGTTGCATTTGTTTCACCTTGTCTGCCTAAGACATCTGATTGGTCTAATAAAAAGCTGAATGGCCAATATAGCTAGATAGGTGGAGCTAGCAGGCAGAGAGAATAAGTAGGAGGAGAAATCTAGGCTCAAGAGAAGAAGAGGAGGAGGAGGAGGAGGAGGAGGAGGAGGAGGAGGAGGAGGAGGAGGAGGAGGAGGAGGAGGAGGAGGAGGAGGAGGAGGAGGAGGAGGAGAAGAAGAAGAAGAAGAAGGAGAGGGGCATGCCCAGGGCCAGAATCAGAGCAGCCAGCCAGCCAGCCCCGAGAAGCAGTGAAAATAGAACATACTGAAAGAAAGAAAGGTAAAAAGCCCGAGACAAAACATAAATGAAGAGAAACAGGTTAAGTTCTAAAAGCCAGTGGACAAGCATAAGATCAGGCCGAGCACTCATAACTAATAAGAAGTCTCCATGTCACAGTTTGGGAGCCAACTGGTGGTATATTATGGTACTCCAGCATCAAACTGCAGCCTGCATTAACATCAACAGTCAGGGTTTAAAAAAGAAAAAGGAAATAAAATAGATATTGGGCATAGTAGTGCAAGCCTTTAATGGTCACTCATGAGGCTGAGGTGGGGGATTAAATCAAGGTCAGCAGGGTCTACAGAGCATGCTTCTAGCCAGACTGGAATACACAGTGAGATTCCATCTTTAAAAAAAAAAAAAGCCATTAGAGACCCATTAAAGTTTCATGAGAAAGAAAATAAATAAAAGATACAATATTCAAAAAAAATGTATGAGCCCTAGCAGCCAGCCAGCAGGTAAAAGTCCTGCAGGCCGGTCACACTACCACCACTGCCACCCACTGGACACTGGAACGTACAAGACCCACTCGGCTGCCCAAAGCCACCAAACCCATCATTCTCCCCCTGGCCAAACATCCCCCTCCCCGCAAGATCAGCAGCCCCTACAGGCACAAACACCACCTGTACCAATTGGAAGAAGAGCAGCCTCCGTAACCCTAACTCCTCTAACCCCTAATCTAACCCTAACCCCATGAACAGCCCTCTCCAGCAACATCAGCAGACCCTATAGGCTCCACTCACACCAGATGGAAGAAGAGGGTTAGGCACATGACAACCCACACAGTTAGAAGAACAGACCCCATAGGCACAAGTAAAGCCCACATCAGCCAGAAAAATTCAACTATATGCTGTGATCTAGGCAACCAAACCCCTACAAACCTCAGGTGAGACAACCCTGCTCCACCTGACAACTAGCCAATTACCAGAACCCTTGGCCATTCGGGCCAAAAGAAAATAAAGGAAACAGACAATAAAGGAACAAAAGACACATTCAACAAGGGCATCACAAAAATCAATATCTGTACCTATAATTATCCCAAACCCAGATGGGTAAACAGCAGTGTAAGAATACATTCAACAACATAAAGAGCAATATAGCAGCACCCGGAACCTTCTACTACAGCAAGACTTGAACATCCCAAGCAGAAGAAAATGATCCTAAATATAACTTTATGACCCACCCGTTGGTAGTACACGCCTTTAAAACCAGCACTTGGGAGGCAGAGGCAGGCAGATCACTGTGAGTTGAGACCAGTCTGGTTTACAAGAGCTAGTTCCAGGACAGTCTCCAAAGCCATAGAGAAACCCTGTCTCGAGGAAAAAAAAAAAAAACAAAAAACAAAAAAAACTTAAGATGACAATCCAGCCCTTGAAGGAAAAAAAGGTGAAGGAAATAGCGGCAATAAAGAAGAAACAAACTGAGGGAATTCTGCAAATGGCAAATCTGGGTAAATGAATAAGAAATACAGATGCAAGCATAGCCAGCAGAATACAAGAGATGGAAGAGAGAATGTCAGGCTTTGAAGATATAATAGAGGAAATAGATTCACTGGTCAAAGAAAATGTTAAATTCAATAAATTCTTAACACAAAACATCCAGGAAATCTGGGACACCATGAAAAGACCAAACCTAAGAAAAGGAATAAAAGGAGAATTCCAGCTCAAAGGCACAGAAAACACTCAACAAAATCATAGAAGAAAACTTCCCCAACCAAAAAAAGGACATGCCTATGAAGACACAAGAAACATACAGAACACCAAATAGACTGAACCAAAAAAGTTCCCTCATCACATAATTATCAAAACACTAAACATACAAAATAAAGAATATTAAGTGCTGCAAAGGAAAAAGGCCAAGTAACATATAAGGCAGACCTATCAGAATTACACCAAACTTCTCAATGGAGACTCTGAAAATCAGAAGGGCTTGGACAGATGTCATGCAGACACTAAGAGACCAAGGATGCCAGCCCAGACTAATATACTCAGCAAAACTTTCAATCAACGCTGGTCGGTGGTGGCACACATCTTTAATCCCAGCACTCGGGAGACAGAGGCAGACAGATTGCTGTGAAGATGAGACCAGTCAGGTCTACAAGAGCTAGTTACAGGACAGCCTCCAAAGCCACAGAGAAAACTGTCTCAAAAAAACAAAACAAAACAAAAAACAAAACACCAACTTTCAATCACCATAGATGGAGAAAACAAGATATACCACAATAAAACCAGATTTAAACAATACCTACCCACAAATCCAGCCCTACTGTACTAGAAGGAAAACTGCAAGCCAAGGAAGTTACTGGGACCCACGAAAACACAGGCAATAGATAATCCCAAAAAGGGAAACGCACATGCATTACCACCACCAACAAAACCAAAAAGAAAAAAAACAGGAACTGAAAAATCACTGGCTATTAATATCTCTTAATATCAATGGACTCAATTCACCTATTACGGGACACAGACTAACAGAATGGATATGAAAACAGGATTCATCCTTCTGCTGCATACAAGAAACATACCTCAACTTCAAAGACATACATTGACTCAGAGTAAAGGGTTGGGAAAAAACCTTCCAAGCAAATGAACCTAACAATATATCCTAATATCTAACAAATTAGACTTCAAACTAAAACTAATCAACAGAGATGAAGGATATTTCATGTAAATCACAGGAAAAGAATCCAACAAGATGAAGGCTCAGTTCTGAACATTGATGCCCCAAATATAAAGGCATCCACATTTGTAAAACAAACATTACTAAAGCTTAAATCACTCATCAAACCTCAAACACTAACAGTGGGAGACTTGAACAATGCACTCTCACCAATGGACAAGTCTGCCAGACAGAAATTTAACGGAGAAATAAAGGGATCTAAAAGATATTGTGACTCTAATGGACTTAACAGACATCTATAGAACATTCCACCCAAGCACAAAAGAATATACCTTCTTCTCAGCACTTCATGGAATCGTCCCTAAAATTTACCACATACTCAGTCACAAAGCAAATCTCAACACATAAAAAAAAAATTTGGAATAACCCTCTGTATCTTACCAGATCATCTTGGCTTAAAGTTAGAATTCAGCAACACCACAAAATACAGAAAATCTATAAACTCAGGGAAAGTGAACAATGCTCAACTCAATCACCACTGGTCAAGGAAGAAATAAAGAAAAGACTTCATAGAATTCAATGAAAATGAATGCACCCAAACTTATGGGACAATATGAAAGGAGTGCTAAAAAGAAAGTTCATAGCACTAAGTGTCTACATAAAGAATTTAGAGAAATCTCACACTAGTGACTTAACAACACACCTGAAATCTCTAGAACAAAAAGATGCAAATTCACCCAGGAAGAGTAGACAAAAGGAAATAATCAAAATCGAGGGCTAAAATCAATAAAATAGAAACAATGAGAACAATACAAAGAATCAATGAAACAAAGAGTTGGTTTTTTGAGAAAAATCAACAAACTAACCAAAAGGCAAAGAGAGAATATCCAAATTAACAAAATCAGAAATAAAAAGGGGGACATAACAAGAGAATCTGAGGAAATCTAGAGAATCATTAAGTCATACTTCAAAAACCTGTACTACACAAAATTGGAAAATCTAAAAGAAAAGGACAATTTTCTGGATATGTGCCACATACCAAAATTAAATAAAGACAAGATAAATAATTTAAATAGACCTATAACCCCCAATGAAGTAGAAGCAATCACTAAAATCCTCCCAACCAACAATAAAGCCTAGGGCCAGATGGCTTCAGCACAGAATTCTACCAGAATTTCAAAGAAGAGCTAATACCAATACTCCTCAAATTGTTCCACACAATAGAAACACAAGGAACATTCCCAAACTCTTTTTATGAAGCTACAATTACCCTGATACCCAAACCAAACAAAGAGGCAACAAAGAAAGAATTATAGAGCAATCTCTCTCATGAACATTGATGCAAAAATACTCAATAAAATACCCAGAGATGCAGATGCAGGGATGGTTCAACACATAAAAATCTGTTAATGTAATCTACCATATAAACAA